GAGGTTCTCATTCTACAGGAGCCAAAGAAAAAAAAAAAGAAGCCATGCATTACCAGTTGCATTACAGGTACTGTACTGCACAACAGGAATAATGTCAACAGTGTAGAAACAAAATCTATCAAAGAAAAAGAAAATTCTCAAGGCCAATAATGATAGTACTATTTTAATTAACATAAATCTGAGATTTAAATGGCAGATATTCCAAACATTCAATTTATTATATGATGAAGTTGACAAGACACTGAATAATCAGCATAAAGTATTTTTTTTTAAGTTTAAATTTTCATGCTGTATAACAAGATGCAAAATGTATACTTTTGCACAAGAGGTGAAGCAATCATGCAAAATTTCTCTCAATTAAAAAAAAATGAATACATAAATAAATACATAAAAAAAATTGAGACTGAAAAGAACAATAATTTTCTTTGGCTATTTCTAATTGGTTGATTATGTCTGTGGCATGCCATTTTTACACTATATTATGACTGAATGATAAATATCCTTGTTTCCTTCACTTTTATCAAAACCAAGAAAAAAGATTCCATCTGGATAGCTAATATAAACCATTACTATCTGAATGCTTGGAATATATAAAAGAATAAACTAGCCATGTTTTTCTTCAGCAGTTATTTCTTTAGCAGTTACAGAATGAAGGTATGTTATGGTAAAAAATGACTGAACTAAAATACATGAACACACAAACATGCCCACTGATTATATCATCATAAAACAAAGAAACAAGACACTACTTCAATAAAGCAGGAAAACTTTATTAATAGTAATACAGTAAACTCAACAGGAAAAGAATAAGATGCTATCAAACTGACTTCTCTTGTACCAAAAAAATAAAAACAAACAAATAAATAAGATGATCAGATTCTTTTTAATAACAAAAGAAATCTACTACTTTCTACAGAAATATAATTTTTCTTGTAAATAAATACATGAAAATGAAATCAAATACCCTAAAACTGGCTACATGAAATTGCAACATACCTTAGCCTTCCACTCGGCTGATTTCTTCAGAGCTAAATTATTGGGTCGTGTCATGGTGCCTGCATTTCCAACACTCGTCCTCATCATTGCTGCCATCATGCTAACACGTTCTCCTGGCCCATTTCGTCCATAGTTCCGAGGCAGTGAGGCTGACCTGAATATCAAGTAGAAGTAAATATGTGCGTAAACATTTAGTGTTAGGAGACAAAAACAGCATATGAATTTTAAGTGGCTTTGCTGTGTTTTGAAGGTTTGTAAAATAATTGAACTTTAATATAAGAAATAAATTAAAGAAATCTAGTGCAAAAACAAGCTCAAAACCTCTATAGTGAATAAGAAGCCAAACAGCAAACACGAAAACAAAAAGGATAAACAGAAATACCAGACAGACAGAAAAAAAAGAAAAATCAATGTAAAATAAATCAAATAAAAGACCCTACAGAATCCTCACCTTGAAGCAAAGGAAGGAATGGGCGGTTCATTCTCAACGTCTGACAGACCGTCGCTCTCAATGTCATCTTCCGTCACGTAAGTCAGGTTGTTCTCTCCGATCGTCACCCGCTTTCCACCAACACTACGGTCCTTCTTTCGCTCTGTTGACTCTCTCTTCACTATGCGCACAGTCTTTATTTCCAGTGGTTTCTCTTTAGGGAGGATACCTATAAGGAGAAAAAATAGAACAAGGCTATTATATATATATATATATACTATTTTATGATCATGTTTTCATTACACAAGAAAACTGTTCATTTTGTTACATCCTTCAACTTTACAAAAATAGCCATATATACAATAATAATTACAATGAAGACAATAATAATAACAATAACAACTTGCAATAATGGTAAAGTAACAAATGCATGGAATACAAGTGCAAGTCAAAATTACCATAATATCTCTTCATTCTGTCATCTGCATCATTGATATCCAGATGGCTCCCAGACTGCTGCTGCTCTTCACCATCTGGTTGGTTATCTGCAGCATCACGGTCAAGCCCCAGCAAGGCACTTCCTCCAAGGTCCCCATTTAACAGAGGCTGTGAAGCAAAGGAAATGGTTAACTCTATCCAGAAGAAAAAGGTGCATCTCTCTTTTTCTGGATGCAATTTTTTGTATATATCATTTCATTTCAGTTGCAAAAATTAGATGATCCTTATTATTATTTTAGACTGTACTTTCTTATATATACGTTCATTTCTTACATATATATGTTCCATTCTTATCATACAATCATTGCCATTTTATCATGTCAAGCTAACTTCTATTTATTTTAATATATTGATAATATATCTCATTATAGTGAATAAATATAACATCAAATTGAGTAAAATGTCACCACCACATGCTAGTCTAAATTCCTAAAACCACACATGTACAAATAAAGAAAATAATAACAGCAGCAGGGCAACAAATAAATACCTGATGATATTATCTACCTCATAAGAAATCACTAATCACTTATTAGTCTCATGCTTTTGTAATTCTAGAAGGAACTCCAGCTACAAAATTAATTACGGGTCAATAGTAGCTAATTCTAACTGGGAAAAAAACAAATGAGAGCAAAAATATAAAGCTAATATATATACTACCAGGGGGAAGGGGAAAAGAAAAATTCTTGCAAAACTGAAAGCATTCTCAAAGAGTTTTTTACATCATATGCTGGTCAGTTCTATGGGGATATCTTAATTTCTTTTATTCCCTATGATTATGCTTAAGGGATGAACAAAGTCCAAGAGAATCCAACTGGCAGAAAACCAGATAGTTGATGGTGCCGGGGGGAGAGTATATGTCCCTCCCAACCAGCAAGTAAGGCAAGCTGTGGGTCCCAATGGGTTGGTCACTGCTGGGACTCAGACTGGGAGCTGGGGTTATCTGTCCCATCCAGATCCCTACAGGCAGAGTATGGGACCTGCAACCAACCAGTCCTCTACATGGGGCAATATTGGCAAGGGTGGCAAAGGTGGTGTCCACCTGGAGTGACTGTCTGAGGCTTAACCTCAGGTAGGCTGTCAGAGTGGGGGCTTTAAATATGATTGATTGCCACTGCTGTCAGGGGAACTGAAGCGGCTGAGAGTAGAAATAGCTGCTCTCTTGGAGGTGAGAAGACCTGGTAGCAGTACAATCAGAGAGGGTGGCTCTGTTCAGGCCACATTAATGGTCACCATCTTCAGAGAGTAGCCATAGCCATCTCCACCAGACTTTAATCCTCAGTAGTATGAGCATATAATGGTACTGAGACTAAAGCTTGCATTTGGCAAAATGTCTATTTTTGCTGTGTATGCAACTACTGATACTTGTAAACTTGACATGAGAGATGCTTTTGCAAAATTGTGATATACAGTTGTCCTTGGTGTATTGTTCTGGGGGATTTTGATGAGGTATCTGGCAGCAATCAAGCTGGCTATGTCTGTCAGTCCTCATGGCTTGACAGCTGATACTGGCAGCGAGAAGGACCTCTTTTTCCGGGATTTTGTAAGGTCCCTGAAACTGAAGATTTCTGGCTCTTGGTACCAGCACTATAACTCACAACATTAGACATGGTACAGCAATGCAGGTAATGTGGCCAAGGAGACTGACCACATCCTTGTTAGCAGTCATTGGAGGACCCTCAAGAACTTCTGTGCTGCTAGCTGCTAATCATAGATTAGTTGTGACTACCATCAATGTCCACTCCAAAACTCCCTGTGGTCCAATGATCTCCCGAGAGTGTTCCCTGAGGATAGATTGAGGGAAAGGGAGTGTGCCCGAGGGTTTGCTAAAGCTATCTCTTGTTATTTCACAGCACTTAGCAATCTGATGGACCCTGTACTGCTGTGGGACACCCTCAAGTGTGTAATGCTCAGTCATTGCTAAAGGACAAGGAACAATTTATCATGATTCTTACATAGGCGGTCAAATGCCAGTTCTTAGTAAATGATCTTCGTCCTGCCTACAGAGAAAGCTGAACTCTAAGCCCTCCTTAAAGGCATCTGCAGTCCACTCAGCAAGTGGCTAGATCATCTCAAATCCTGTTGGGGTGCAGGAGCATTGGGCTGAGTATTTTGAGCAATTGTACCAGGTTGATGCACCAACAGTAGCCTTGGATGTGGGTAGCGTCAAGATCTCTGTGCCAGACCGAACCATCAGCGGGGATCTACCCACCCTAACTGAAGTTTGAGGGGCAATCTCCAAGCTGAACAGTGGTAAAGCAGCAGGTATCTGCAGCATTCTTAAAGGCTGGTGGTGAACTGTGACACTGGGTTTGGATGCTGTCCTGGCTGCCATCTGGCAGACTGGTACCATTCCCTCTGACCAGTTGAGGGCTGTGGTCATCCTTCTCTGGAAGGGGAAGGGGGATTGATGGGAGTGCAGCAATCATCAAACCATTAAACTTCTCCTGAACAAAGACTTTGGGGGTCCTGCTAAAATCTGTTCAGTCAGTACGTGCTAGTGGCATGGACACTTAAGTCACAGAAAAGTCACATTCCCCCTGACAAGTTGAGGGCTGCTGGTCATCCCTCTCTGGAAGGGGAAAGGGGATTGATGGGGCTGCAGCAATCACCAAGGCATTAAACTACTCCATACACCAGGTACTGTCCAAAGTCATAGTGGAGCAACTGACCATGATTTTGCTGACAATGTTGCTATTTTATCAGAGTCTCTGGAAACCCAAGTAGTGGCTCTAGATGCATTTAGCAATGAAGCAAAGCCCCTGGGTCTAGAGGTTTCTTTGACAAAGACTTTGGGGGCCTGCTAGAATCTGTTCAGTCAGTACATGTTAGTGGCATGGACACTGAAATCACAGAGAGCTTTATGTATTTTGGTAGTGCAGTTCATGACTCTGGGCTGTCAGATCAGGAAGTCAATAGACAAAATGGCCTGGCTGCAGGGGTTATGAACTCTCTCAACAAGAGTATAAGGAGATGCCAAAACCTTTGCAGAAGGGCTAAGCTACATATCTTCAAGGTCCTGATACTGCCAGTTTTACTCTGTGGTAGTGAAACCTGGACATTATCCTGTGCCTTGGAATCTCATCTTGATGCCTTTTGTAACATGTCGTTGCACCAGATCATGGGGTACAGTTGGCGGGATCATGTGTCCAACCAACGGTTACACTGTGAGACTGGTACAGGACCCATTACTTGCATAATCCAGGACAGACAAATCAGACCATACAGGCACCTGGTTCACTTCCCACAAGATGATACTGCCCTATCTGGTTGTCTCTGTTTGAGATAACCCTGGATGGTGGCCTGTCGGACGACCTGAGAAGTCATGGCTTAAACAGATTGATCAGACCTCTCATTAGGAGCTAAAGATGAGCTGAGTCCCTGTCTGGCAGCTTGCCATGAGGGACCCTTGTAGGTGTAAATGAAGGGTGGATGCAACTATGTGCCCCCATTGGCATTAGCTCCCCAGTGATGATAATGAAAGTCAAGGAGACTTGTATACAGGGAGGATTTACTATTTACAGAGAAAATAATGGGGAATGAAGGAAAAATACGAGAAAAGATAACCGAAATGGAGAGTCTTTGGGGGCTTCCATGCTCAACAGAAGTATTATCATTCACCTGTATTTGATCAGATTCTCCTAAAGCTGAATAATTATGAAGGTATAGATGTTCATTCAGGAAATGATCTGCCAATGACGTTTGGCTATCAAGGAGTTCATTATATGACCGCATATGCTCAGGAGGAGGTGGAGGTGGTGGATAGTCTGTATCTATATAGTCCGGACTTTCAGGGTAATCACTGGGCCCAACCTATTGAAGAAACGTTTATCATTATGTCAACAACCAGCTGATGCAGTCTTTAAGTGAGTGAGTAAGCTATCCACACTGTTCAATAATGCCATCTGAGCTGATAACGTGACGAACCACACCTCTGCTTTGCCTTCTTCCACTGCCTTACCTTGTCTGGATATCCTGAAGCATTCACATACACAGGGTGACTGGGCATCCTCTCATCCTCAGGTGGGTCTAAGCCCCTATCCCTCGTTATCATGGCGTCCAGGTCAGTCTCAAGCCAAGTGCTTCTTCTCTTCCTTGCAGGCACAGGGGCAGCACCCACTACGCCAGTGGGGGAGGGTCTCAGCTCAATGCCTGGGTTACTTGATGTTAATCTTTGGATCTGTTTCAAGTTGAATTGGTAGTAAGGGGAAAAAGAATTGAGAATAAGAATTACAAATAAATACCATCCTAATGGTGCTTATGATATCAATATCACCCATGAAGAATATAAAAATCAACAAATAAATATATATAGAAAATAAACACACATCAAGTAAACTATATGAAACCTTATAATAGGCATACCTGATGACTCAGTTCAATTCTCCGTCTCTGTAGATCTTCTAACAGTGTTTGCACGCGAACCATTTCTGCTTCGATGTGGCGTGTTTCAGCACTGCTGCTTGACTCCCTCTGGCAGTTGCGTGCCATGGTTACCTGAATCTTTTGGCGAAGCATCATCATCTCATGCTCTAGCCGGCTGTTCTCAGCGGCAGTCTCTTCTAATTTCTGTTTAAGACAAGGAATTCATTAACTACTGGAAACTACACATTAAAAGCTCAGCTCAATTATTGGTAAAAAACAAAACAAAAAAAAACTAACAAGTAAAGATGGTTTTCCTCTTGATATATCTACTGAACTATGGAAGTGGTAACAGATAATGAGAGAACAAATGATTCACTACAGTACTACATCTATTAAACCTCTTCCATAACTAATAATGCTTTTAGATACTAAAATTTTGGAATAATCTAGAAAATAAATCAAGACATCTTTTCTACTATGACTAATCATGCAAAATTTCACAGTATGGACTATTACTTGCCATACATATACTGCTAATTCCAATGCAAAATATTAATGAAATATCGACTGTCCTCTAAACCACTATAACTTCTAAATCTACACACTACTAACCCTTTATGTTTGATCTAACTGGCATAATCCAGCATTCTTTCATAAATCCTAGAGAACATACAATCCAATAGCACATCAAACTTAATGGAATCTTTAAGAATAATTTGATATCGAAATGTGAGAAAATACATCTATCAAAGTGATGGATTTCCTATAACCAATTCTTCAACCAACTGAAAGAATATACTTTCATCTCTCCTCACATAACTCCAAAAGGAAGTATTACACAGCTAATATATGCATATATATAAGCACATCTCTCAAACTCACCCTTGCAGACACAGCAAGGTGAGCACGGAGTTTGGATAGCTCGTGTTCCAAGTGCCGTCTCTGTTTCTTTCTCCGTTCAAGTTCTACTGGTCCCTCATTTGCTCCGTGAGACTTGGAATTCAGGTTTACTAGGGTGCGTTCCAGCATCTCCTAGGGTGGAGAGTCGGTTGGCTTAGACTAGCTCTTGTATGAGTACAAAGGCCAAAAAGACATAACCCTCTAAAAAGGTCTTACCTGATTGTTATTACTTATTTTTTTGATTTTATAAAAGAAACTTTTAAAAGCCTCATCAAGTCATAACTGTACTTTTGGAAATCTAATTTAGATGC